GATGCTGTTTTTAGATAATTTCCATATTGCGTTGGGGCACCTTTCTTCGGCATGGGCACAAACATGGATCTCTTGTAGTCAGGTGACCAGGTGGCTGCCTTCCAGATTTCATGGCGGGGACCAGTGCTTGCTTCCACTGCTGCATACAGTTGTTGACATTGGTGTTCAGTACATTCCTGGAGCCTTGTTTTTGGCTAATGCCCTCAGTGCAGCTTGGGCTTCTTCCATCAATACCATTGATTCTTTTTGTTTGTTTGTTTTGTTTTTTTAATACCACTGATTCTTGATCATGTACTGTGGGGGACCAGCCTCCCCACCACTGAATAGGTCACAACTGAATAGGTCCCAGGGGTGGTTGTATAATTGAGGGGTAAATTAAAGAGATATCGGACAAGATAAAGCATACAAGTGCTCACCTCTCCGTCATGCCTTCAGGAGCCAGGTCTGCATAGAGAGAGGGAGTAATGTAATCTCAGGAGTGTATATAATCTGGGGCACTCAGGCCACAGTAAGCACATATGTAACAGGAAGAGATTGTACAATAGACATACACACGACAGGAGGGGGACGAGCTAGGGGTGTGCAGCAGTAGGAAGGGGAGGCATTAGGGGCACACATGTCACAGGAAGGCACAAATGTAACAAATGGGTGGGCTCTAGAATCAAGATGGCAGTGGACCCTTGGCCATCTGAGTTGGCTTGACCCAGGGTGTCTTCGGGCTCCTGCAGGGACCGTCCATTGTCCTCATCGGAAAGGAATGGATCCTACATACGGTGGTAACAGACAGCAGGGTCTGGTTGCCTTAGATGGCTGCCTACCTTCAGACAGATAGCTTTCAAGCAGTTGACCTCAAAATGTACAGTCAGTGACCATGTGTTTGCAAGCAGCGCCTTAGATTTGGCATTGTTATGAGGGAACATCGTGGGGAATAACTTTTCCTTAGGAGGATGTGAGTGGGACGCATCTCTAAACCACGAACGTGAAGGTTCCCTCCACGGAAGCCTTGGCCTCCCAGACTCCTTAACGGATGAATGTGGAGAGTTTGTCCGCATACCCTCTCTTTCTGGTTCTGCTTCCCACAATATCCTACTTCTTGGGATGGTTGAACATCACCAATTGCTTTTGGTAGAGTGCCTGTGTGCTCCACCTTTTGACGTCTGCTACATCATTCAATATTTTACTCACACAACTCCTGCAATATTGTAACTTGAGACTTTGGATTTGTTTTTAATTCCTCCCGTTTGAGATACGCTCCACATGTTCTCCTGTTTGGGCTGTTCAGCTCGTTTCTTTCACCATCTCCTCCATTCTCCTGAGCTCCTCTGTGTCCAGGACCTTCGGGCCGGGATCTCTGTGGAAGCAGACCACCAGGCTGTCTTCCACATTGCTGCCGGGTGTGCCCGGCCTCTGACATTTCGGTTAGTAGTCAGGCACAAATGTGTTGCTTCACCTGGGGATTTATTTGAGTCCTTGATCCTCTCCAAATATTAAAAAGAGAAAGTTCTGAGCTCTCTATTCGACAGTACCTTGAGTTATATTTACACTGCCTTACCAAATGCCTTGAGGTCAGCAGTTTACTTAATAAGTAAATTCCTGCTTGACCTATTAAGGTTTTGTTTTAGGAATTTCAGGTTGACTGAACATTGTCTGTCATTTAAGAGAATTCCCAACGTTGTGTACTTTTTGCACTCAATCGCAAACGTTTTGGAAGGTTTCTTGACATTAGTGCATAATAAAAGGAGCCTTAGTGGTTCAACAGTTAAGCGCCCAGTAGTTTGAACTTACCCAGCACTTCCACAAGAAAAACACCTGTCAATCTGCTCCGGTAGACATTATTGCCGTGAAAACTCGATGGGGTTCCTCTTTGTTAAATGGGGCAACCATCAGTTGGCATTAACTATGGCCGGCAGAAACAACAATACATCATAAAGAAAATGTTTGCCTTTCTTAATATCTTTCAGACTGGAAGCTTCTGCAGGAGACCAAGGAGTCACCTGCAAAGGAGGACTTTTGTGGAGAGCAGTTATCCCAGGCATTGATCATCGAGAGACTTCCCAACTGTAGCTTAGAGCGCTCCATAGTAAGGGGAAACTGGAATTCCAGTGCTCTGGTTGTGAGACAGCCGGTAAGTTGGGGAATAAACCTTAGGCCAGAGAACATCTTCATAAAGAAACGTTTTCTTGAGCAAAGAGTCTCACTCACAACTGCAAGAAGTACAGGAGACATGCACAGTGCACTAGGACAGATGATGCCCTCGGTGAAAGAGTCCATAATGTTAATGCACAGGGGGGAAACATAACACAACCACTAAAAAGAATCACAGGTCAGTCTGTGCTGGTCACAAAGCCCTGTAATGTAATTAATGTGAGAAATTTGAGCAAAACCTCAACCCTTCTTCTTGATCAGATTTTACCTGAGAGAAAAGCACTGATGGGGTGGTGAGTGCCTATTGAATCTTAGAAAGCCTCCAGTCATCATTCTAACCCACCCAAACGAAACCCAGTCATTTTGTCGATTCCAACTCATGGTGACTCTGTAGGACAGGGCAGAACTTTCCCGGTGGGGTTGTGACTCTAACGCTTTACCTAAGTAGAAAGCCTCTTCTTTCTCCTCTGGAGTGGCTGGTGGTTTCATACTGCTCACCTTGAAGTTTACAGCCTGACGTGTAATCCACTGTCCCACTAGGGCTTCTCCAGTTAGCATTACAAATCCATCTTGTGTGTAATTTAATTCTCCCCAGAATTTTATTCTTCATAGCAGAAGTGATTTCTTCTGTTTCTCTCTCTTCAACCCCATCCCGCATAAAACTTAACTCGGCCCAGTCATGTTGCCACTAGGATTACTTAGGAACCTACGTTTCAAGGTTTGTTTGTTTTAAGTATATTCTCCTATTTTCGGTGAAATTTATATAGCGAATCTCACTCCCTTTGACAACCTCTGGAAATTATGAATGTCCCATTGATTGCCTTCTTTACATTGTGCCAGCATTCTCTTCATTTCTCCTCTAGTTGTTTCTTACCTGTCCTCTTAACTTTCTTATCTGTGCTTTCAAATAAATATTGTCCATTTGGTCTTATACCATTTTCAAAAAGGACTAATATTCAAGCCTAGCAATCTACTTTTTAAGCTAAACTGCTACTTAGTTTGAAGAGTGCTTCAGTGTAAGGCTTGAGGAGTATCTCAGAACAGTAGTCTTGGGCACTCCTCTAGCCTCAATGGACCAGTAATTCTGGATTATTGAAGAGTATGAGGTTTGTCCTATCATTCTCTCTCTCTGTCAGGATTTAGCTGCCATATTCTTAATCAATGTTCATGCTACTGGAATGTTCATCTAACTCTTTCACCGAGAAGTTAATCCTGCAGTCTGTGTCTTTTCTCTGATTCTTTTTTGCTGCAGATGACTAGAGACCAATAGTGGTATCTTAGATGGCTGCTCATAAACTTTTAAGATGCCAGAAACTACTCATCACGCTGGGATGATTGGTCGATTGTCCCATAAGCTTAGTCACAGCCTGTGGACATAGCCTGTTCCTATAGAGCAATTTGGGTTCATGAGCAAGGTGTGATCAAAATTGTGTCTGCTCTCTTTCAGGGCCTGGTGACTATCAAAAATGTGACTGTAGACTTCTCCCAGCAGAAGGATTTCTGTAGGAATGCGATGTGGGAGAACCATGGTAACCTAGGGTCAATAGGTAAGGACCTGACGACTCCCAAATCTAAATGTTCATTCAGGGACCCCCATTTTCCTATTTAATTATTGGGGGGGGGGTGGATGAAAAAATTGAGGATCTATCTTCTGAAGTACGAGGCTTAATTTGTACTCCCAATTTCCAAGGAAAGAGTTTAACATTTGTAGTGCCGAAAGTTAGTTACTCTGTTATAGAGTTCCAGATAATTAACACATCAGCTGCTAAGACTCTGGTTAGATGGTCACATCTACCCAGTGCTGCCTCAGCACAAATGCCTGGAAATCTATTTCTGAAAAATTAGCTATTGAAAATCCAATGGAGCACATTTCTATTCTATATACCCTTGCGTTGCTATGAGTAAGAGTTAGTGCCACAGCAATCAATACTGGTTAATTTTGTTATTCTTGAAGCGTCATCATTCATGTCTTTCAGCTATCCCTTACTCTTCTCTCTGCTTATCTGTGATACCACTTTCCTTCTAAAATCCAGGAACTAGTTATCAATTTAGAATGCTAATAATATGATCACATACCATCTCTTTTCATCTACACAGGACATAATGTGTGTAAGCCACATTTCGTCTCCTTATTGGATCAAGGAACAGAGCCCTGGATGGTGAAGAGAGAGCTGACAAGAGGCCTGTTCTCAGGTGAGTGCTGGAGAATGTGATATGAAAAGCCATGAGAATAGAGTGAAGCTTTTTTCAGAGGCTAAATTCTCACTAATGTATAGAGTAGACAACTTTTACCAACTCCCCTAGATGTGGTTAGAAGTTTGAAGTCTAGTCTGGGATTCTAAAGCATCTTTTTTTCCTCCTTTGCTTTTGCTCTTAGTGGTAAGTCACATAAATTTGTGTATGAATCCTCCCATTGGGTCATCTTACATACATTGTAGTTAAGTCTAATTGTAATCACTGCCTTCTGTATGTCGTATAATAAGCATTTTCATTCACCAACCTTCCTTTTAAGTGATTTCTTCATTATAGCACATAAAAAAACAAAGTATTAATTTCCTTGTTATCTTTCAGGCCAGCATTCTGTAGGTGAGACCCGGAAATTCTTTTCGAGGCAATACACATATGATGAAATAGTAGCAGACAGAATTTCAAACCGTAACCTTGGATGTTCCATTTTCAGAGGACAGTGGAATACTGGTAGCTTATTTCAGGAGGCACAGTTCCAGCAAGAGCTGATTACATACAACAAAACCCTTTCTAAAGATGGAGACCAGACACATACAAAATCTGGAGGATGGTCCCATCTGGATGGTTCAGAAGATAGGGCACATAATCTTGATTCACTTAAGAAAGAGCTCTCAAAAAACTCAGTGGTAGTTAAGCACCCAGGAATCTATGCAGGGAAAAAACTTTTCAAATGTAATGAATGCAAGAAAACTTTCACGCAGAGTTCATCCCTTACAGTTCATCAGAGAATTCATACTGGAGAGAAACCCTATAAGTGTAACCAATGTGGGAAAGCCTTCAGTGACGGCTCATCCTTTGCACGACATCAGAGGTGTCACACTGGCAATAAGCCCTATGAATGTATCGAATGTGGGAAAGCCTTCATACAGAACACATCCCTTATCCGACACTGGAGGTATTACCATACTGGGGAGAAACCTTTTGATTGCATTGACTGTGGCAAAGCCTTCAGTGATCACATAGGACTTAGTCAGCATAGAAGGATTCATACTGGAGAAAAACCTTATAAGTGTGATGTGTGTGACAAATCCTTTAGGTATGGCTCATCCCTTACTGTGCATCAAAGGATCCATACTGGAGAAAAACCCTATGAATGTGACGTTTGTAGGAAAGCCTTCAGCCACCATGCATCCCTCACACAACATCAAAGAGTGCATTCTGGAGAAAAGCCTTTTCAGTGTAAAGAATGTGGGAAAGCGTTTCGGCAGAATATACACCTTGCTAGTCATTTGAGGATTCACACTGGAGAGAAGCCTTTTGAATGCGGAGAATGTGGGAAATCCTTCAGCATCAGCTCACAGCTTGCTACTCACCAGCGAATTCATACCGGAGAGAAACCCTATGGGTGTAAGGTGTGCAGTAAAGCCTTCACCCAGAAGGCTCACCTTGCCCAGCATCAGAAAGTCCACACAGGAGAGAAACCCTATGAGTGTAAGGAATGCGGCAAAGCCTTCAGCCAGACCACACACCTTATTCAACACCAGCGGGTTCATACCGGAGAGAAGCCCTATAAGTGTACTGAATGTGGGAAGGCCTTTGGTGACAATTCGTCCTGTACTCAACATCAGCGACTTCACACTGGCCAGAGACCTTATGAATGCATTGAGTGTGGGAAGGCATTCAAGACAAAGTCGTCCCTGATTTGTCATCAAAGAAGTCACACTGGAGAGAAACCTTATGAATGCAGTGTGTGTGGCAAAGCCTTTAGCCATCGTCAATCCCTTAGTGTTCACCAGAGAATTCATTCGGGAAAGAAACCATATGAATGTAAAGAATGCAGAAAAACCTTTATCCAAATTGGACACCTGAATCAGCACAAAAGGGTTCATACTGGAGAGAGGTCCTATAACTATAAGCGAAGTAAGAAAGTCTTTAGGCAGACTTCACCCTTTGCTCGTCACCAGAGAATTCTTTCTGGAGAGTCATCCACACGCCCTCCCTCTTCAAATCCCGTGGATCTGTTTCCCAAATTTCTCTGGAACCCATCCTCTCTGTCATCACCTTAATCTCAAGACATCACCACTGCACCTCGATTACGTCAATAGTTTAAAAACTGATGTCTCTCCACTTTTGTTTTTGTCTCTTAGAAACTTATTCTTCACTTTACAACCAGAGTGGTTTTTAGGGTAATTCTTTGACTCGTGTAAAATTTGCACTGAGCTTGTTGGTTAATGCATTCCATCTGCTTAGCAAAGTGTCTGGGCCATGCTAGCTGTTCAACAATGTTAGTGCTTTTAGCAACATCATTTTAGGACACAGTAGAATGAACATAGACTGCTCTGAATATCGATGCCTAAAACAAGGCTAGGAGAACTCAGACTATGGAACCAGGAGTTCTTGAGATGAATTAGTGAGGTTTAGCCTCTGTGGTTTTGAAACTTGGTTCTACAATGTTCATTTAGCACTGTGGCTTTCTAAACATAAGGTGCTGTGACCTGTTAGCTGATTCAACCTTACTGTATGGCTGACAATAATATGGGTCAGGGGGACTACCTTGAACAAAAGAACGAAAGAAATCAGAAAACTCCAAAATGAATGTGCATAGAGTCAAATGTACTGACATGTTCCCCAATAAAAAATAACAGAACCTTTTCTGTTTAAAGTCACATAGGTTTAAGTTGAACTTTTAAGAATCAATTAAGTCCTTAATTCAAATGTAAACTCATATAGAGCAGAGTTCAGCAAATTAAGACTTATGGCCAAATTTCCATGTGCTGTTTTCGAATGGGAGTCCCTGGGTCGTACAGATACAGTTAATGCACTCAGCTAACTGAAAGTTGAAGGTCCATCCAGAGGCACGTAGGGAGAAAGGCCTGATAACACACCTATAAAAATCAACCACTGAACACCCTGAGAAGCACAGTTCTATTTTGGCACACACGGTCACCATGAGTCAAACTTGATCTGATGACAAATGGTAGTTGGTGTTTGTATGATCCATAAACTAAGAATAGTTTTCTTAATATTCTTAAGTGTTTGATAAAAGTGGAAAAATAGTATCTAGGACAACATGGAAAGTCTGTAATGTTTCAGTGTCCTAAATAAAATTATTTCCTGGAACATGCACATTCATTTGTTCACACATTGAGCGTGGCTGCTTTCAGAAGGTTACAACAGCAGAGTTGGTAGCTGTGACAGACACTCTCAAAGCCTCATTCACCTATTCATTATCTGTCCTTTTACAGAAAAATTTTGCAGACCACTGTTGTAGAGCAGAGAAAAATATTCAAGAAGTTCTAATTATTTTTATGAAGGAACAGCAACTACGATATCTAAAACAAGAAAGCACAAAGTCAAGCAATTTATCGATGAATGCAGGTGAATGCGAATTATTAAGCTATAGTGGAAAATATAAAAGATAGGCCAGCCCCTCCCATCCTTGGTTGTGTTTTCTGCTGTTTCAGTAACCTGCGGTCAGCCATAATCTGAAAACAGGGGTATTTCAGTTGTGTGCTGTTCTGAGTAGTGTGCTGACATCTCGCACCATCTTAAGAGCTCCACACCAGAGCTGGCTGGCTTCTCCTCTGGATACAAGCCTGGAAAATATGGTTGGATGGGCAGTTGTGCTGCACCTTGCCAGCATCTGATGGGTTAATGCTGCTCGCCTGGTGTGCCCTGAGTACGCATGTATATATAGGGGGGAAAAATAGTCTATGTAGGGTTTGCTACTGTCTAGTCTCAAGCATCCACTGGCAGTTTTGAAATGTGTCTCCTGAGGATAAAGAAGAACTGTATGTAAATGAAAAGTAGGACATTTTTCTAGATGAAAATTGACTTTTCTGGATGATTTGGCACTGTTAAAATGTTTGTAAATTGTATTTTCAAACAGCCTCGGTAGGGTAGATTTACCGCAACCATTTTACTTGAAACAGTATGAGGAGAAGTAATTAAACAAGAATAATGAAATTTTTGAAATACATTCTTTGCACGTGAGATTTTACTATATAATGAAACTAGTCTCGTGATATTGAGGAAATTATATTTTGAGAATTGGTCATTCTTCTTGCCATTGCAGAGCAATATAGAGCAATTTCATTTAACAACTGTATGAAATAATTAAATGTTAGAGGCAAACAGAAAAGAGGAAAGCTTTAGTGAGCAGAGCATGGATTCCTAAAACTCCATAAAGGAAGAGAACAAGTTGGCCTGTGTAAAGATTATCTGTAAAATCTGGGAAGTTAACATCACTGAGAAGGAAAGTGTAAATTAAAGCCTTTCCTTCATTAGAAGTCTAAGTCATACTTACCTGGCAGGGGAGGTACCATGATCACGAAGGTGGTTTTCCCAGGGTGAGGCTTATCCAGTGCACTCTGATGTGCTGACCCCGGCGATTTCCCCAAATGTGGGAAACTCGACTGCGTCATTTGTGGTAGTGGGGGACTGCGTTCTCGCTCTCCCCTAGGGAAAAAAAAGTGTAAATCTAAAATCTTGATAATATCCAGGACTATTATCATATGGGGAAATGCATTTATTCAGCAGCAGTGTAAATTTGCCTCCTATCTTTTGGGGTTAACACTATGGTATCGTATTATCAATATGGGTTTCTTTTGAAACCTTAAATCTGAATGTAGGAATTTTGTCTCATTGGAATAAATTGATATCAATAATACTTATTTCAGAATTGTTTTAATAGCAATGTATGGGATTTTTCCCAAGTTGTCTCCCCAAGTATATGCCAAACCTAAGATGCTGCTTGCTACACATGGCAAACCACCGTACACTTGGAGGTCAAAGAAAGCAGGTCAGAGGTTATACTCCCTAAGGGTTATCAGCCATCTAGAGCAATCAGACTATCAGTCTGTCCCACCCTAAGTAGGGCCCACTCCCTTCTGATAAGGATAGTAGTAGATTGTTTCCCCTAAGGAGAGCCCAGGGAGGTCAAGCCCACTCAAGGGTGACCAAGGTTAGGCTGCCATATTGAGTCTAGGGTCCATCTTGTCACATGTGTACCCCTAACCCCTCCCCTTCCTGTTGCATGTACACCCCTAGCTCATCCCCTTCCTGTTACACGTATGCCTATTGTACAGTCCCTTCCTGATATTCATATGGTTACCTGTAATCACACCCCCAAAGATATATAAGCCTTGGTTAAAAATAAACTCTCCTGTCCTCTTTCCCTGCGCTGTGTGCGGACCTGGCTGGTGAGATCATGGTTGTTCAGGAGGTGAGCATGCTACCCTGAAATGTGTCTGACTATTTTACCGTCTCTTACTCTCTATGACTTTGCTATAATCTTTATATATCTCAACAGTTCAATTGCACCTATCAGACCCGTGATGTAGTTGTGAGGGGCTGGTTTCCCCCACAGCAATGCCTATTTCAAAATTGTTTTAGCAGCAACAAAGAGGATTTAGTGTCCAGTCAAACAGCTTGATCAAATGGTGCTTATTCAATAGTGTACCGTAAAAAGGGATACATTGCCTAATTCCATGGGAGCTGTCCATAAAGTACAGTAAAGAGGAGACATTGCTCAATTCCATGGAGAGGCGTGCACAATATATTGAATGAAACGTACTTAATCTGGTACTCATAAAGCAAAGTTAGTATTGAGTATACACGTATTATGCATGTAGAAATGTTTTTGTCAGTAGGTACACATAGCTCTTTCTGAGCACTTTCATCCAATATTGCTGTACTGTTGCCAGTCGTATTTAGGTCAGTTGACCCAATCAGATTTGTCATTCCTTGTCATTTGACAGGAGTACAGGAGCAAGGCCAGTATTGGGCTCTGTGAACCGGTATGTCCATAAAGGATGGTTTCTTTCCATCGGGACCCACTTGTTTGGCTGGGATCCTTCTTGTGCTAGCTTTAATATGTCACTCCAGGACAGAAGGCCCGGCACCCCTTGTCTTACTGCACTTCACTTCGCTGTGCTTCACAGTAGTCCTTCCCACCCTCACCCCCACACCCTACTGTTTTTTCAAATGGAATGCTTGTGGCAACTCGGCGTGGAGCAGAACTCCTGTGCTGCCCTTTTTTCCCAACAGCGTGTGCTTAGTTCGTGCCTTTGCACCAGATTTTTGTCATTCTCAAAATACTTCGTGCTTTTCATAATGCCGTTAGGGGCTGCCGATTTCATTCCAACCCATGAAGACTCAGAATGTAGTGTTATCTCACACTTAATAGACTGCAGTATAGTATAAACATAACTTTTTTTTTTTTTAAGGTTTTGGTATATTTTCTTTTCTTTTTTTTTTTCTTTTTTAACATTTTATTAGGGGCTCATACAACTGTTATCCCAATCCATACACACATCAATTGTGTATAGCGCATTTGTACATAGTTTCTCAAAACATTTTCTCTCCATTTAAACCCCCGACATTAGGTCCTCATTTTTCCCCTCCCTCCCCGCTCACCCCTCCCGCATGAGCCCTTGATAGTTTATAAATGTGTATTATGTCATATCTTGCCCAGTCCGACGTCTCCCTTCATCCACTTTTCGGTTGTCTGCCCCCCAGGGAGGAGGTCACACACAGTTCCATGTAATCGGTTCCCTCTTTCCTACCCATTCTCCCTTTACCCTCCCTGTTTTGCCACTCACACCACTGGTCCTATAGGGCTCATCCGTCCTGGATTAAACATAACATTTTAGATGCAAGGGGAACCAAGCAATTTGTGCGACTCACTTTATTGGGATCTGAAATCAGAGTATTAATATCTCTGAGGTATGCCCATAGTTGGCATTGAGCTAGTGTCCGACCGCTAAGGTACTGTACACTTCTACCTTTCCCTGTGACCCATTTGAATTGTCCTTGTTTTCTTATATTCCACTCTTCCCTAGGTCTTGAGTTACCCAACATTCTTCCAATGCTTAACTTCTAATTTGACGTTGAGTCAGGTTCTTGTATTCTCAAGCTAGTAAATCTACCTAATACAGAAATTTTACCAGAAAATGGTTATTTGACCACAGAGAAGCCAAGTACTAAGGATTGCTATTTAAGTGACATACAAGTAGATCCCAAAGTAGGCAAACTCCTACTCGTGTTTTGTACTAGGGAAGCTATGTCTTTTATAGCAGAATCAAATTCTTTGTGCATGTGATAGCTTTCTCAACACACACACACACACACACACACAATGGAAAGGCAATGAGGAATGCTAGCTTCAAAAGTGTATTTGCTTCTTGCTAATGAAACACGATGATTTAATTGTTAAAAATCAAACAAAAAACTCAAACCAAACTCACTGCTATGATGTAATTTCCTTCTCACAGCAACCTTGTAGAACTGAGTAGAAACTGCCCCCTTTAAGTAACAGTGTGTGGCTGTGAAATTTTGTTTCCTGTTTGGGTAAAATGCTGCTGAAACTTGTGATGTTGAATACAGCTTAAAAGGACAGTGTTAGGGAAAAAACTCAAGTGTACAAGTTTTTCATTTCAAAAAAGGTGAAATGTTGATTGATGACAAACCTTGTTCTGGACGTCTGTCAACTTCCCAAATGGATGAAAATGTTGACTGTAGTGCATTTAGGGTTTGTTTCACTAGGTCAGACTATTAATCAAGCTTTCTATTTAGAGGTGCTGAAAAGATTGCATAACAGTGTGCAATTAAAAGTCATGAAACACATGCAATGACACCAAATTCAGGAAGCTCACAGACCAGTGGGTGGGAAGTCTGTGGATCCAGTGGCATTGTAAGCATCTCAGCGCTGGCAGGGGTCTCCACATGGCTCATCCAGTTCCCAGGACTGGCTGCATCAGGGTAGTTTTATGTGGTTTCATCAGAAATGTCTCACAGGGAGTGAACACATGTCCTGCCTCCAATGAACTATTTATCTCCTTAGTGCATCCAATGAGGTCATCAAGCTGTGACCTGATTGACAGGCCAAACTCCACCCCTTCACTCCTAAGTCTCAAATTAACAATAGCTTATGTAACTACCCCAGATACTAGTCCACAAGTCCCTCTTCAGACTGAAGAAACCACATGCAATGATACAGAATGCAGGGACATCACTGGCTGTTGGGTGCAAAGTCCCGTGGATCCAATGGTGGTGGCTCTGGCAGCTCTCTTAGTGACTCCATAGCTGGAAGGTGAAGGCCAAGGGAGAGAGGACATTCCAGGA